TGAGACACTACTGGGATTTGGGAGTGAACCAAAGACTACGGCGCTGGTGTTATTGGGAAGGCTTTGGCTTCCATGACCACAATCCACTCTTTGGTGAGAGAGACAGTGAGCTGCTGGGAAGGGACGGCCTCCACCTCTCTCTGCTGGGGAGGAGGCTCTTCTCAGCCAGATTGGCTGACCTGCTCCACCGGGCTTTAAACTAATCCCCCCAGGGGATGTGGGGTTACTGCCACTGCTGGCCCACTTAGCAACCCTTGCAAAGCCAGCAGGCCAGGGCACATAAAGGAACCCACCCCTGCCCCAGCCCTGGAATGAACTGTAGACAAGGCCAGGGCCCCCAAGGGGACACTTGCCTTGCCTATACACAAATGCCAGCAGTTTGGGCAACAAACAGGAGGAACTTGTCCTCCTGCTGAAGGGATAATGGAGACCTGGTGGGACTCCACCCATGACTGGGCCACAGGTACAGACAGCTATACCCTGTATAGGAGGGATCGAACGGACAAAAGGGTGTAGCTCTCTATCAAGGAAAGTTACACATCCCTGCAAGCCGACATTGGCACCCATGGTGGAAGACTTAAGACCCTCTGGGTTAAAATCCATGGGGAACACAGCACAGGGATATTATGGCAGGAGTCTACTACAGACCCCCTACCCAGGGTCAAGACCTTGGCCAGGGAATTGGCCGAGGCCACGTGCTCCCGATGTATGGTTGTCATGGGAGACTTTAACTACCCAGACATCTCGTGGGAGGAATGCTCAGCCAAATCCGAGTGGTTACAAACCTCTCTCTCGTGCATGGATTACCTCTATCTGATGCAGGAAGTTTACGGCCTGATGAGAGGTAAAGCACTGCTCGATCTGGTACTGGCAACCAGGGATGACCTAATCAGCGACCTAAAGATCGAAGGGAAGCTGAGCGACAGCAATCACGAGCTGATCCCCTTCACCATTCGCCATAAAGCTGGCAAGTCAGTCAGTAATACAGACATCCTCGACTTCAGGAAAGCTGACTTTGACAAGCTAGCTAAGGAGGCTTGTCAGTGAGGCCCTAAAGGGCCACAACCTAAAGGGGAGGGGAGTTCAGGACGAGTGGTTGCTCCTCAAGGAAACGAGTCTGGATGCATAAGCAAAGTCTATCCCATCTCGAAGGAAAGGCAGCAAAAGGGCATAGTAGCCCCCTTGGCTCTCCAGGGAACTAGGAGACCTCCTGCATCTTAAAAAGAAGACCTACAAAGGATGGAGGACTGGAGCCACCACCAAGGAGGAATACTCTGCTCTGGTCCGGACCTGCAGAGAGCAAACCAGAAAAGCCAAGGCTGCGATGGAACTTCAGCTAGCTACAAATATCAAGGACAATAAAAAGTCCTTTTTTAGATATGTGGGGAGCCGGAGGTAAAGCAAGGGCAACATTGGACCCCTGCTAAACCAGATGGGACAACTGACAACTGATGCCCATGAAAAAGCAAACTTACTAAATGGGTACTTTGCGTCAGTTTTTCACCAGTCCCATGGACGCCCCTGCCCACTACGGGACATGAAGGCCGGGGTGAGGGAGATTTCTTACCCTCCATCAGTGCTGACCTCATGAAGGAACACCTTGACAGGCTGGATACCTTCAAGTCAGCTGGCCCTGACAGTTTACACACAAGGGTATTCAAGTTGCTGGCTAGCACTAGAGCTCAGCCACCTGGCACAGATCTTTGAGAACTCCTGGTGCTCTGGTGAAGTGCCTGAAGATTGGAAGAAGGCCAATGTTGTGCCTATCTTCAAGAAAGGGAGGAAAGTAGATCCGGCAAACTACAGGCCCATCAGCCTGACCTCTATCCTGAGGAAGGTCTTGGAAAAGATTATCAAAGAGGCCATCCTTAACAGACTAGCTGATGGCAATTTCCTGAGGGATACCCAGCACGGGTTTGATGCGGGTAGGTCTTGCTTGACCAATCTCATTTCCTTTTACGACCAGGTGACCTATCCCCTGGACAAGGGGGAAGAGATTGATGTCCATATATCTTGACTTTAAAAAAGCCTTCAATCTGATATCCCATGATCACCTCTTGGCAAAACTGGCTAACTGCAGCCTCGACCTCACCACAATCTGCTGGCTGGGAAATTGGCTCCGCGGCAGGACCCAGAGGGTGGTGGTTAACGGATGTCAATGATCATGGTGCCCTGTGACCAGTGGGGTCCCTCAAGGCTCTGTCCTAGGGCCTATGCTCTTTAACATCTTCGTCAATGGCGTAGACATTGGTGTCAGCAGTGGGCTGGCCAAGTTCGCCAATGACACCAAACTCTGGGGTACAGCATCCACACCTGAAGACAGGAGGGTGATCCAGGCTGACCTTGACAGGCTCATGAAATGGGCAGATGAGAACCTGATGGCGTTTAACACTGAAAAATGCAAGGTTCTCCACCTGGGGAGGAAAAAACCTGCAGCATCCTTATAGGCTCAGCAGTGCTACGCTGGTCAGCACTACAGATGAAAGGGACTTGGGTGTCATGATTGACCACAAGATGAACATGAGCCTTCAGTGTGATGCTGTGGCTAGTAAAGCAAGCAAAACACTGGCTTGCATCCATAGATGCTTCTCAAGCAAATCCCAGGACATCATTCTCTCCTTGCACTCGGCCTTGGTGAGGCCACAGCCGGAGTACTGCATCCAGTTTTGGGCTCCACAATTCAAAAAGGATGTGGAGAAGCTTGAGAGCGTCCAGAGGAGAACCACATGGATGATCAGGGGTCAGGAAAACAGACCTTATGATGAGAGGCTGAGAGCCATGGGACTCTTCAGCCTAGAAAAGCACAGACTCAGGGGTGATCTGGTAGCCACCTACAAGCTTATCAGGGGTATTCTCCAGGATCTGGGGGAATGTCTGTTCACCAGAGCACCCCAAGGGATGACAAGATTGAACGGTCACAAATTCCACTGCGACCAATTCAGGCTGGACATAAGGAAAAACTTCTTTACTGCCCGAGCCCCCAAGGTTTGAAATAGACTGCCGCCGGAGGTGGTTCAAGCACCCACTTTGAACGCCTTCAAGACACATTTGGATGTTTATCTTGCTAGGATCCTATGATCCCTGCTGACTTCCTGCCCCTGGGGCAGGGTGCTGGACTCGATGATCCTTCAGAGTCCCTTCCAGCCCAAATGTCTATGAAATCTATGAAGTAGGCATCCAGTTCCTGCTCTCCCTCTCTAATGGTGCACAGCCACTGCACTGTTGCCTGGAGCTCCTTAATCTGGCAATCCAGGGCCTCCACTAAAGAAAAAAAATGGAGAACGTGCAGTCTCAAGAAAAGAAATAGGATGTTTCCGCTGCTACTGCTCAATAATGGATGCTTTTTAAGGGGAAAGTGATCTGAGAAGATCAAATATGCAGAGGATGTAGCAGACTTCCATTTAAGCCCAAGAGTTATGTTCATAAAGGTAAGGGTGGAGGTGAGACTATAGAAGAAGATACCATACCAGTGGTCCTACCCAAAAAATAAACTGTTTATAACTATCACAGGCCTACCTGCATACTCCTTTTCCAATGCATACAAGGTCATACAATGGTATTTTTCAGAAGTAAGATGGCAAATTCCCTTTCCAAACACTAAAGTCTGAACACTGGCTCCTGCAGAAGTTGGGAAGTCTTTATTGGAGCTTGAAATTATATATTGGGGCAGGCTTTCTAACTAATATTGCAGAAGTTGTCTGCATTGACTTTGAGGCACTGATTAAACCAAAAAGCAATGATACAGGCACAGCAGAAATAGTTACATCTCCCATGTGATAAATATTGGTTCTGTTCCAAGGACTGAGAGAGTTGGTACAGGGAATGCCAGTGTCAAAAAGCACTAATCCTGAGGTCGAGGGCTTAGCCACTACTACTATTTATAACCCTTTAAATAGTACTAAAGAATGGGACAATGTTCTTAGCAGGTTCTAGGAGATGCAGGACTTGGTAGTGTAATACTTCTTTACCAAGAAATAGAAAAGAAATTTCTTTGACCTGTGGTACAGGGGATCTGGTCCTTTGAGGAGAATTGCAGAAATTGACTTCTGCCAAACTGGGATAAGGGAACACTAGTTTAAGTGAATCAAAGCAGCAGCAACATTCCAGGAAACCAAAAGGGAGTCTGTTAAGGCACTCTAAGCTAAAGACAGCTCAGCACTAGAAGAAGCCTGACTTATCTCAGAGTCACAGAAAGACCTCAGATTTATCAGAAAAACACATTTTTAATCTAGCATCTCTAGATTGGCAGTTCTTAAAGAGAGAAAAAAGTCCTACAAGCACTACATTATTCTTTAATATATGTATATAGCCTGAGTACCTGCAGCTCCAATGAAATGAAAAAAAATGCAGATGTGAATGATCTCTGAAAATCAGAACACTTGAATCATGGCCTTAAATATAAATGAGTGAGTGACATGAGGCACTTGCATTTATAACTTTGGTGCTAAATAAGTTCAGTTAGAAAAGGAGTTAAATTAGGGCTGATGTCAGTTATTTATATGCAAAACAGTTAATCTTCTAACATAGTAGAACCAGAGGATGTACCACTGTCATTTCCATGCCAAGTTTTGTGTTTCTTATTAGGCACTCCTTTTTTATTAGCACTATCAAAAAATTAACACCCCATTTTATGATCACAAGGTATTTTAAATGTATATTTCAATTAATTATAAAATGGAAGGAGCATGAAATCTAAGTATCACACAGTATAAATTAAAATAGGTCACTGATTTCATCTAGTAAGAAATAAACAAGATGACCCCATTCCTCAATAAACTACTTAACAAAACTTCTGATTTGAAAAATATAACAATGTGAAAACAGCAGCACTAATATGTCCAGAAATATTTTCAGAACACTGTTTAAGTCATGTTCAAGAATGCCAAACTTCCTGTTAGTATTTTTAAGTACAGTTTAGCACGATGAAGTTTTATGTAAAGATTTCTAGTGTTATCTACTGACACTGTAGTCCATAGAAATAAGTATAATAAAATAAATACCTTGGCTGTGTAAAAGGAAGAACATGCTATCATATGCTGAATACTCTCATAACACCCTGCTTGTTTCCTTTGTAAGATACTAATTGGGAGCTCTTGAAGGACTGTCAGGCATTTAATGAGAATCTGAAAATACAAGGATTACAATATCATGTCCTAAATCTACATACCCTTTCCAGAATCAGTGCCCAGCAATGTAACTCTTTACTATAACATTTTTAAACAGTTTACAACGTACATGGAGTGAAATCCTAGCCCTGCTAGAATCAATTGTATGGCCTGGATTTCAGCCATTAACTTTTAGTAATAAATAGCGAGTTCTGCCTGAAGTAGTATATACACAATTAAAGATGCATGGTAGGAGTCCTTTAGTGTTTTAATTAGCCAGAAATAAAAGACTTTACAGTGCGACGATGAGTAGATGATACAGATAAACAAATCTACTTAAAATTGTTTTTGAGCTGGTCACAAATGTAAATGAAAAACAAAAACAAGTTTAAATACTTTTCAGATTAGTTTTCTTTTCTACTTGATTCTAAATATCAAAGACCCATTTTTCTGTCTTGTTTAACAGATATGGAAACCAAATTACTATCCATTTGAATGGGGATCTGAACATGAAAAGCAGTTTCCAATTGTTGCCTGTGCTTTTTTTAAGATATCATAGCAAATAACTGCTTAACCAAGAGCTCATCACAAGTAATGTAATGAAATCTATTTTGCTTTTCCTAATTGCTTCCATCCTCTCTCGGATTTGAACACAATAATCATTCCTGACTGCTTTAAACTATGTAAATTGGTCCTTAATATAAAATCCATGTTTTCTATTTGTTGGTCATGAATTTGAAAGTCTTTGGATATTGCCACAATATATTTTCCTGAAGACCTGATGGGATTTTAATAGTATTACTACTAAACACAGAAATAGAGGGAAGGTACACAGTCTTTTATAGGAAATATGCAAACTCTTGGAAAGAAATGTATTTTTAAAAGGAAACATTTCTCCATTGAAAACTGAAGGGTATTCTTGAAAAATAAAATCAACTTCAGCCCCAGAAGGGAAAGGACCACCTAAATATCAGAGACAAACACTTAAAAAAGAACTCTGCAAACACTCCCTTTTCTTCCTTCACAAGTGGTATTTGTAAACACAATATGGTTGGAAGTTATGGCCAAGATTCTGTCATAGTTAGACATATATTACAGCACTCATCTCAGTGCAGTTACTCTTCACTGATATTAGTATAGCTGAAAACACTGTCCAGATACATGGATTTATAACTTTATGGGAGTGCTCAGAAGTTACAGAAATATTAATAACTTCCCTTTTCGTAGCTCATCTTTAGTTCATCTTTTGTACACAGTTATAAATTTGATTGTACCCCTACATTCAGGCTAGGTACAGACATTCAAAAAGCTGGAGACAGAATTGATCTAAATTATGCAGTTTTCTGTAAGCAAGGTAGCGAAAAGAACACACATTTGCCGTTGGGGAGGAGGAGCAAATCTTAAACCGGGTTCACCATTTTTAAACCAGTCTATGTGTACCAAACTTCTGTTCTGTTACAAGTATAGACCACTTGTGTGCCGAGCGTCTGTTCTGTTAGGTTATCTTCTCTTCAGCAACACCTTACAAAAATCAGTCGAAAATGATTGTCTTCCACGACTATCTTATCCGTGTGTCCAAAGATGGCTGATGAGGCCTATCCAGGATCGACAGACTCTACTACATCTCAGACACGTGTTTCCACATGGGGTGGGTGATGCTGGATTTTTTATTTGGTCTGCAACATGCGGTTTCTGCCACTCCTACTTTTTCATCTCCTGTTGTTGTCATGAGGTTTCAAAGTACTGAGATCCCTACAAAAAACTCTTCCTCCATTTGGGCTAGTCCTGGGCAATAGTCTCCTATGAGTTAACATTGATGTTGCATTTTTTTTAGTTGGCCTTGAGAAGATCACCTGAAGCTACACCTGAAGCACTTTCTCTGCCCTCCTCTTAAACACACACCTTGCTGAGCTAGGAAAATAAAAGTTGCTTTTGGAGCCTGGAGTCAGACATCCAAATGACATGGCTGACCAATGAATGTCAGATGATCCTCACCTCAGTACTTGTAGTGTTTGCTTGCAGAAGGATGTTAATGTTGGTGCATCTGTTTTCCCACTGGATTCAAAAGACCTTCCACAGACAGCATTGATGGTACTTCTCCAATGACTTAAGACATCTCCTGTACACTGTCCATGTCTCAGCTCTGTACAGCAAAGTTGGGATCACGACTGCTTGATAAACCATGAGCTTGTTTTTGCTTCTGATGTCACAGTCTTTAAACACCCATTTCTTTAGGCATCCAAAGGCTGCACTTGCATATTTGAGGCAATGTTGGATTTCTTTGTCCATGACAGCCTTTTGAGAGAGATGGCTTCCAAGGTAAAGGAAATACTCAATGTTCTCCAGAGTCTCACTGTGGATTTGGATTGCCAGAGCTGGGGACTGTTCCTTAGGTGTGTGTTGGTATTTTAGTCTTCTGGATGTTAACTGTCAGTCCCATTTTCTTGTGCCTCAGTAAAGACAATGATGATTGCCTGACGATCTGCTTCTGAGTGAGCACACGCTACAGCATCATCAGCATACTGGAGCTCAGTGACTGAGGTTGAGCTGGCCTTGGTTTTGGCTCTCAGTTGAAATTAAACAGCTTACCATCCATTTGGTAATTTAGCTCCACTTCAGCTGGAAGCTTGTTGGTGGTCAGATGTAGCATCATGACAAGGAATATTGAGAAGAGTGTTGGAGTGATAACACAGCCATCTTAACTCCCATCTTAACCCCAAAGAGTTCTGTGATAGATCCATTACTGAGAACCACTGTTTACATACTATCACGGAGCAGGCAAGGAATACTACTAAATTTCAGTGGGCATCCATACTTCACAAGGATCCTCCACATCACTTCTAGGCTAATAGAGTCGAAACCTCTCATGAGGTCAAATAAAGGCCATGTAGAGAGGCTTATGTTGTTCCCAGACTTTCTCCTGGTGCTGGAAAGCTGTGAAGATCATTGTCAGTTGTGCCTCTTGGTGCCTTAAACCCACATTGAGATTCTGGGAAGAACTCTTCAGCAAGTACAAGGAGACAGTTCAGGCAAGTTCTTGCAATGATCTTTCCTGAGGTGGACAGCAAGATGATTCCTCTATAGTTTCCACAGCCAGACTTGTCTCCTTTCTTGAAGATTGTCACAATCATGGTGTCCCTGAGATCATCGGGGATTTTCTCATCATTCCAGATCCTTAAGATGAGGGCATGAAGCTGTGATGTGAGCAACTCTCCCCATTACTTAAAGATTTCCATGGAGATTCCATCTGCTCCAGATGCCTTGTCCTTCTTCATCTGCTTGATGATTTTCCTCACCTTGTCAAGGGCTGAAGGGATTCCGAGATCATCTCTAACTGGGTGTTGCAGGATGGAGTTGAGAACACCCTCATCAACAATAATCTTGATTGAAAAGTCCTTCAAAATGTTTCTTCTAATGCACACTGATGGCTCCCATTTTCTCAATCAGGTCTCCTCCATCCTTAGCTCTCAAGGGAGTTGGTCCCTGAGTGCTCAGACCATAGACAGTTTTGGTGGCACTGAAGAAACCACATATTGTGGATGTCAGTGAGATGTTGAATCCCCTTAGCCTCATCTTCCCACCATTTGTTCTTCATATCACGGGTCCTCCTTTGGAACTCTGCTTTGCCTTACTGGAGATTCAGTTTCTTTTGCTTGGAGGTGGTGTTGTTTTGCTAAGCACAAAGGGCGTTGCACTTGAGATCAATCAATTCTTGGATCTCCCAGTCAATCTCATCAAACCAATCTTGACGTTTCCTGGTAGAGACTCCAAGTGTCTCTTCACAGATGCTAATGATGGTGGTCTTGAGGGCACCCCACACACTGCTGACATTCTCCCATTGTTTTTGATTGGAATTTACCAGTTTTTCATTGAGGAACTGGTGGAAGAAGACTTGCTTGCTTGGATCCCCGATTCTTTCAATATTGACCTTTTGTCAGCATTGCTTCTGCTTCAGCTGTCATTTGCTGCAGCAGTTTGAGTGACATATATACCAGTTTAGTTATGTATATACAGTTTATATACCCATTTATAGGCCAGTTTCCAATCGTGTATACTGGTAAAAGTATACTTCACCTGGGCACAATGTTGGTCTATCTTTTGTTTACCCACTCAGAGAATTTGAATTCAACTATTTCTTTTCAAATGATTTTACCTGAACCACTGGCACTGAAGAAATCTTGTGGTAGATAATTGGAGCAAGGAGACTATAACACTGAACAACAGCTTGCAGGGCATAATTTGCGTCATTTAAACAATTACTGAGCTCAATTGCCACAAGCATTCTCTCACATTCAACTAATCTAGCGACCTGCAAAAGAATAAAATGTGTATTCAGTTATAACTTTAAATTACCTATCCCAGAAGGTGGAAGAAGAAAGTTATTTCTATAGTTTAAATGGCAGTATAATGGTATAGTAAATACGATGTCTGAATTTAGAATAAAGCTTACAGCAATCCTTAGTAGGAGTGTATAAACAAATACAGCATTTTTCATGACATCAAAGAAAATTGTAGCTTTAACTTAATTTTATCCCTTGAGTCTATTAGTCAATGATGTCAAAAAACTTGCACTTCAAACACAGAACCACTTTAAACAGAGCAAGAAGAAACCATATCATGAAAAATCAGTAAAATTGTAAAGTCACATGCCATCCACTCATAGCTAATTAGTGGGAGAAAGCATTAACCTTTTCTTGTTTTGACATTTTAGGTCCCATTTCTCCAGCCTTTGCATGAGTAGACCCAGTGAGTGAAGTGAAACTAAAATTGAAGTGAAAGTTTTATAGTTTCTCAAAGGAGCAGAGTTGATAAATCTTTGTGTTATTACCTTCAAGAAGCAATACCTCACTCTTTGTTAGGGTTGGATAGGCAGGAATGAACTCAGGCTATTATACCCATGACATTCTATTAGAAGTCTAATACTGAAGAAAAAGCACAAGTGACAAAAATGTTTATAGCAAAAAAATCCAGCAGTACACACATACCATAAATTAAATGGTGATTTTGCATATTTTAGGACTTGATCCAAACACTGTTGGAGTCAATGGGCATGTCCACATATGCAGGCACATGCACTTGCAGCAGCCCAAACAGCAACAGCACAAATTTGTGCCAGAGATTTGTGCCTCAGCACACGTGCCTGAACATGCACTTTAGTGTGGGGCAAATTGTGCCACTTGGGGCAAACTGTCCCTGTCCAGCTCCTCCTGGATCTTCAGCCAAGGGGAGCTAGAGGCTCCCCAGCAGTATAAAAAAGCTGCATGGCGAGTAACTCAAGGCTATTTGCTCTCAGGAACTTCTGGGAGACCTCCTGATCAACCTCCTCCTGGCCCTGACCAAGTGGGCCCTGTACTTGACCAAGGAGGCTCTGGCCAGGAAGGTGCCCGGAGACTGCGGGGCCGCTTTCCTCTCACTTGTCTGTGCACGTCTCTGGGCAGAGCACCAGTGGGCGGTGTCCACTGGCTCCTCGGATGCCTTTGACGACCAGTGGGTGCGGCCCAGGGGGCTCTGCTCTGTGTCCCCCTCAGGCACACTTATTTTCACATTTTGACCCTTTGACAACACTCCTAACCTGTTTTTTTTTCATTAGTTGTCCCAAGTATTTTGTTGCAACATTCACCCATTAGTCCCCATACAATAGGGGCTACTTGTCAGCCAGGTGGGCCTTAGGGCCCACGGTATTTGAATGTTACAAATAGATAGAAGCCTCTGGAAGATGAGCCTCTTGGAGGAAGTTGGCTATGCCCCTTCCTGTCCCAGGCTGCTGCTGCAAGCTTGGTCGCAGAAGCTTCTGGGGAGAAGATGGCCAGGCCTGTTCCTGCCTTTGGCTACTGCTAGCTTGTTCTCAGAGCTTTTGGGGGTAAGTTGGCCGCACCCCTTCCTGCCTGGGGCTGCTGCTGTTCCTGCCCCACAGTGGCAGGGGGCAGGGTCCCCTGCTGGATACCACTAACCCCCGGGGGGGGGCACCACACTGCACCACAACCCAGCACCACACCTCAGCTTCTGCACTCCTGTTCCAGCCTGCTACCCAGCCCACCACCAAGCCGCAGTCACGGGACAGCCTGGGAAGGAAGCCTGCACTGCCTATGGGCCTCCCCACCACCATCACTGCCAGAGCCTAAAGGTGCCTTCCTTGGCAGGCCAGCCCCCGCGCCTTCACCTCCACTTTCATCTGAAGCACACCCTGACTGGCTGAAATGGACAGCTACTACCACTGGTGCTGCTGCTACCGCTGCCATCTGTTCTGCTGCTGCCCCTTCTCAGACCTCGACGGGGACTGCATGGCCACCCAGGCTATGGTATAGGCACTACAACAGAGCCTCCTGCACTTCTGGGCCAGCTGCTAGTGGGCCATGTCTGCACAGATGGCCTTCAGGCAGAAGAATTGTTGTCATGTCTTCTGGTGCCCCTGCTCTGGCATCTGGGCAGCTATCGCCCAAAAGATGTGCTCACTGCGGCAAGTGGCTTTGAATTGTCAAGTCACGTCCTCTTGGCCCAAATGGCCAAGTCAGCCACCTCATCTGCCCTCCAGCTATGTCCTCAGTGCTGGCATTGGGCAGGCTCCTCTGCTCAGGTCTCACCACTTGCCTCACAAGGAAAGATCCTGGCGTTCCCCGTTTAAAAATTGCACATATTCTGATAACAACCTAAATTATCGCATTAAAATACTACAAATCAATGTTCTTCCAACTCAACTGGGGGCGGGCAGGAGTTCCCCGTGGCAAAAACTTACCAGCCGGTAAACGGCCATGCTGCTCCCAAAAGCAGCTGCGCCACTCCCAGAAGTGGCCACAGGGCTTCCGGAAACAACCGTGGCCTACATCTAGTGCTTGCACTCCCCAGCCAGCACTCGTAGGAGGGGCACCAGCGCTCCTGCCTGCCCCCCCACCCATCACCTGAGCACGGAGCGTGGCCTGACAGGGGGTACACCGGTGCTCTCAGGGGGTGCACGTGCACCCCCTATGCATCCCCACTGATAGATCAGTTGGGCAATGTTTTATTGATATATTTACAATACTAAAACAATTTGGAAGACTACCAGTGCCTCTATCATCATCATAAAACAAATTCTAAATAGCTACAGGTTTCCCTCCCTTTATGCTATACATGCATTCCTGGAAAACAGCGCATAACTTGAATGTGCATAAAGGGAATCCACTTTACAATGTAACAAATAGAGATACATCCCAAGACCGACTCTACTGACCCCCAGACCTATTTCTACCACTTTTAAAAGACAATTTTGGTACTCACCAACAGTAGACAGTGCACACAAGCACAGGGCACTATCATAATGGGGATGGCAACTACATAAACACGTGTCACTGACAATGAGCGTGGAGCACAGATCCACACAGGAGACTGTATTTTGGTGCATGTCACTCTCACAATGCACCACACAAAGCAGCTGACTGTGGACTTCCACCACACCGATCACATAAGAGTGAATTTACGTTACATATAACGAATTATTGGTATAAAAAGATGTCATCACATAAGAGCAAATTCGCACTTACAGAACCCACATAAAGCAAGAGAAACTTGTATGTACTTTGCCATTTACTTTTGGTTTTTTAATCACAGAAAAATCAGAGTTGCCCCTGCCTCCTTCTCTCACCAAGATATAGGGTGTTGAGCAGCACTGATATGCCAGTGCCCTGCCCCTGCCCCTCACTCCCAACCCACAGCCCTCCCTTCGCCACCCCAGTGCCCCTCACTCCTAACCTGCAGCTCCTGCCTGCCCCCACTAGCTCTCTCCCAGCAACAGCTTTGTCCCAACACCAGGACATGTATCCAGCTGCTGCTTTGTGGCTCTGAGCAGTGCAAGCCCTTGCTGTTCTGCCCCATGCACCTGTGTCCAGGCCCCAACGATCTCCAAGTCATTTCTGGGAAGCCCTTGACTGGGGCTCAGGGACTGGGCTGGGCAAGCCCCTTTCCTTCCAGGCTAGTCTACCCCTGCACAGGCTGCTCTAGCAGGGCAGAAGGGCTCTAAGCCCGGCTCTGACAACCTCTCCTACCCAGACTGCTCCCCCACCCCCAACCCCCATCTCTCTCTCTCTCCCTCATACACACCCCTGCTGCCACCTCAACCCCTCCCCCCCAGCCCATCACACACCCAAGTGGTTCCTGGGACCAGGAGCACCCCCAGGCTGGGACCACATGTCCCAGTGCCAGTGTGAGCATGGGGCAGGGATGCAGTGTGGCAGTTCCCCCTGCAGCTGAAGCTCCTGCCAGCAGGTCCCGTCCCATCTGGTGGTTGGGCATGCAGGGTATGAGATTTGTTGGGGTGAGGTGGGGTTTTGTGGGGGGGGGGGAAGGTGTGTGAGGGTATGTATAGGGTTTCTGGGGGTGAGATTTGTGGGAGGTATGGGGTTTGTGAGTGGGTATGTGGGTGGGGGTACGTGGGGGTGGTTTGAGGGTGTGGGGTTTCTGGATGGATTATGGGGGGTGTTTGTGGGGGTGGAGGATTGTGTGGGTCTGGGGAGGATTGTGTGTGGGTGTGGGGGGACTGTGGGGTTGGCAGGGGAGAGGAGTGCTTGGGAAAACCAGGCACTCAGGGCCTGCTAGGGGCAGAGCCCCCTCCGTAGTGCGGTGCAGCCCCAGCTGGAGACCCGAAGCCACCTGTGCCACATGGAGCCAGCCCAGCCTGGGGGCACATGCCTTGAGGCAGGATCAGGCCACTCTTGCTGTCACCCAGGGTCCCAGCACTGCACACAGAAGCCCAGCACACTCGGGCTGGGCTGGGTCCTGCATTCAAGTGCCCTGCATGTCATCGGGCCAGGCTGGCTCCATGGAGCAGGACCTGGCCTGGCCCAAGGGCATACAACTCTTGTGTGCTGTGCTGGGACCCCAGGTGACAGCAAGAGCAGCCTGGCCCTGCCCAAAGGCACATGGCCTTGGGCCGGACTAGCTCCATGTGGCCAGATGGTGTCAGGTCTCAGGCAGCTGGAGTTGCACCATGCCAGAGGGGGGCTCTGCCAGTAGCAGGTCCTGAGCACCTGGACGGCTGCTGCTGCTTCAGCCGGCGGGGGGGGAAGGGGGGGACTGTGTGCTGTGCAGGGGTGGGGGGCAGCTGGGGGACCCACCCCTCCCAAGCAGCTCCCCCCACCCCCACAGTCCCCGCTACCCCCATGTCCCTACTTAACAAGGACAAAGCCTGGGTCTGAGCCACTGCTGCAGCCTTACCCCACTTCTATTTGCCAGTAGGGGCATGGGGAAGCCATAGAGATGCTCTGGCCAGGTGCCAGAGCATCTCTGTGGAGGACCCAGCCTCTGGTTGCTTCAGAGCTCCAGGAGCATGCCCTGTGCCGCTTTTTCCCCAGTGTGTTTCCCGGTATCAAAATTAGAGTCCTTGCTGAAATTTTTTTGTTCTCAGTGTGCCGTTTGTGGTATTTCAAACTGCTTTGAGAAACCGCAACAGGCACAGGCTTGCTCATCTGGACGCAGCAAATGAGTCTTTCCATTTGCTTCAGTTGGCTTTGGATCAAGCTATGAATGAGAGAAAATGGATTAAGAAAAAGCTTATAGACCAAAGCTATATAAACATCTGCTAGCATTAACATAATTTAGAAGAGTGTTTCTGATGACTATCAACTTAGGGAAAACTGTATCAACTTAAACTGCAGTGCAACAGTCATCTTGGAATTTCGAGATCAAGCTGGTCAAATCAAGAAAATAAAATCAAGCCCCACATATTTTCTAAGCCATACATACTTGTTCATTGTACAGTATCTCATTGAAACGAATGGAATCACAGAAGAGTGCTCCTTCCTTAACATGAATGTCATTAAGGATAAATATGTTCCTCAGAAATAGGTGCAAGAAGAATGGGGAAGCCTGAGATACAGCATCAAGAGATAACCTACAAAATGTAAAAAAAGGTAAAATAATGGTAAAGCTACATAATAATAATAATATAGCTATTCCATATACAACATGTATAACTTGAGAAAATACAAAATCCAAATATGACATCACCATTCACAAGGATTAGACAGCTGCTACCAGAAAGGAAATTAAATTTACTTAGCCCTCCCTCTGTTGCTAGCACTCAAATAGAAAGTAAAAATCTCCTGCTTGGATTTATATCTGGCTTCTAGTATCTTGCACAGACTTTTCTGGGCATTTTTCCCCTTTGAACATAATAATACCACTGTCGTATTATCTTTTGAGGAACTGAAAGTTATTTCAAAGATCTAAGGGGTTGTTTTATCATCATCATCATCATTTTGCAGCAGTTCCTAATGATTCTACTAAAGAATCAGGATAGTTCTGGGCTAGATACCACACACACACACACACACACACACACACACACACACACCGCCCCCCGTCTCCTGAAGAGCTAAGTTCTCCTAATAGATTCTTTTTTCTTAGTGTTGTTCAGTTCCCAACACAGTGTTTTTGTATTTCCTCCAGATACATGTTTTCATGGTGTTTCTGGAGGATTTGTCTTGTTTTTAATCCTTTGCCTTGTAACCTCCAAAGTCTGCATCTTTGTTCTATAGGAAGTACATTATCAGTTTCCCTTCCTTCATTATGTCTCCTAAAAGAAGACTGAAAGTCCAGGAAGAATGTGTGTAGGCATGTTCACATAGTCAGCCTTACAATGACACCACCAGGGATTTTAGTACAGAGAGCAGCTGTTCTCCTCTCCTTCCAATTTCCACTGCAGTCCCCATTAGCCATTACTGTTTGTAGGCAGTCCCAATTAGATTGCCTGAGACCTACCAGTAAACAAATTGAAAATGGTCTCCATGATTTAAGGGACTGATCCAATTCCTG